ATAACTCAGCTGGTGGCAGAAAGATGTGAAGATTGATCTCCTGGAAGGGTGTGACTATCTGTTCCTCTCTCCTTTTCCTAGCAACACAGATGCCAAGGGGACTGCAGCCAGAAAGCTATAATTATAAAGGAATAAATTGCTCTTGACAAGATGCATCTTGCAATGCTGCAAGGCAAGCGGTTTCCAAGGGAATAAACTCTCAGCACTTTCCCCCTTCTGCTCCAAGAGTGCTTTGCTGCCCCAGTCCTTTTCTCCCTTGCTTCCTGCAGCACTTGTGCTCCATGGGAGTGCCCTCTGTGGTTATCCTTTGTGGTGGAAAAGATAGAGGCCAAAGCCATAAATCAGGCAGATGTCTTGTGCAAGCATGGATGTGATTCTGGCTGCCTATCTCCTTGGTAGAGCCCAAACCGAAGAAAGTTGCCTTGAACGATATGAAGAATTGGGTAATCCAGGGGTCTGCAACCTTGACAACTTTAAGACTTGTGGACTTCAGCTCCCAGAATTCCTCAGCCAGCATAGCTGAAGTCCACAAGTCTTAAAGTTGTCATGTTTGCAGACCCCTGGGGTAATCCACTTTGGAATAATTTGGAAGAAAGCTGTTCATGACTTTCTAGTTTCAATGATCTTGAAAATGGTTAAATCATATAGTAAGTTAAATGCACAGAGAGAAAACAATTCAATGGATGAACCGTCACTTTGAGCTGGAGGGGTCTGTTTAGCCAGATGTGTTCTGGGAGAAACTAGACAACCATCTGTTGGGGATATTTTAATCCGGATTTCTTAATGCAGCAGGAGGTGACCAAGACAATAGCCACAATAGTACAATCAAAGCTCTACTTGTTTCTTATGGGTTGTGTATTACTACTAAGCAAAAAGAGTAATAAAATAACACGTCAGCTTTTGAGTTCTCCAGGTAAGATATTATCAGGTAAGATATTAAAAATCAGAAAAAAATTGTAGAAAGAAGCTGAAAATTTAAATATTTCAGCTATAATGTCATCTCAAAATTATAATCTCAAAATGCTATAAAACTTCAATTAATCTAGTAAAGATATTGCCTCTTTAGAGTTGTGATTTTGGACTTCTAATCTGAAAAAAAAATAGTCTGAACATTATTGTTCAGAGATAAAGTGGTCTCTCCTGCAGACCCTGAAAACTCAAAAGGCCATCAGTGCCCAATCTGTTTTCTGCCATAATCCTAGCCTGAGAACAAAACACAAAGTTTCTATGTCCATGTTACTGAAACATAATTTTGAGTGGCATACAGATAATTCTCAACTTACAAACACAACTTTGACCGAATTTCTATTATAAGCAAGACAATTGCTAAGCAAGTTACACTCAATTTTACAACTTTTTTTTAACCAAAGTTGTTAAGCAAGTCACTGCAATTGTTAAGCGAATCAGAAGGTCATTAAGCAAATCCAGCTTCCCACACTGACTTCACTTGTCAGAAGCCAGCTAGGAAGGTTGCAGATCACAATCTCAAGAGCCCAGGATGCTGCCACTGTCATAAATACAAATACACAAGTGCAAAGTGCCTGAAATTTGATCACATGAATGCGAGGGCCAGTCATAAGTCACCTTTTCAATACTGTTGTAACTTGGAATGGTTGCTAAATGAATGGAAGTAACTCAAGGACCATCTGTACCTGGAAAAGGAAAAGTTATAATTAGTATCATGAAAATTAGTTATACTGGCTGAGGAATTCTGAAAGTTCATTTTATTACTCCAGAGATCGGGAAACACTGTTAGATCACACCTTGCACATGCCCTTGGTGCTAATTTTCCAATCTTCCCAGGTGTGAACACAGGAGGGCAGCAAAGTCTAACAATTCACTCTCAGCCAGCAGGGTTCTTCACCTTGATCTACATTACAATATGCTTTGTTTTGCACTAGCAGGCTATTTTCCCCATCCACCCAAGGGGAAACTGAAACAGCCAACACAGAAAATGACTTTTCTTCAAAAACGTGATTTCCTGCTTCTTACATGGGAGACTGCATTTCCCCAAAATATAGACCATAGTATTTTATTTATTTAACATATGGCATATCATACATGGATTAGCAATATATATTAACATTTCACCTAGATTAGTAAAACACAATAAATATGTTAAAAAGACTGTAGTAAATGTGCTGTATTTGCCAAGGGACTCAAGATTCATTGTTTGGAATGACAGATTAATGTGATTATCCATTTAGAACAGTATTTCTCACTCTTAGCAACTTTATGATATGTGGACTTCAACTCCCAGAATTCCCCAGCTAGCCATGCTGGCATAACATTGCTAAACTGGCTGGTTGGGGAATTATGGGAATGGAGGTCCACATATCTTAAAGTTGCTAAGCTTGAGAAACACTGATCTAGAATAATTTAAAATTTCACTGGCAGAATCCCAGCCTTTGTAATTGCAATTGCCTGGTACCAATTAGGCTCAACTCTCAAGGTGCCCAGACATGCCTGATGCACCCATCAGTGCTTCATGAGAAAACATGAAGACAGTAGTGGGATTCAAATATGTGAACAACCAGTTCTCTGTGTGGATGCCATTCTGGGCCTGGGCAACAAAAAATTAGCTACCGGTTCTGCCGAAGTGGTGAGAACAGCTGAATCCCACCATTGCATGAAGGTCCATTAAATTGTCCTGCTCAAAACCCAGAAATACAAACTTAACAAACTTGCTATCATGTACTTGGGGAAGATTTTGGTGAGACATTTCTGTGGAATCAATTGAACCAAACTACTAAATATTTTAAAAAGAATTCTATATATCCACAGGAGATTGTAAAGGGGAACGTAAGGATAAAAGCAGAACTGTGTCATCCTGCTGCATGCATTGTGATGTTACACTCATGTGTGAAATGGGCAGAACTTGAGGCACAATGGAGGAAACGTTGCTTTCATATTTTCATGAAAGCAACAAGATATTGTGGATGCCCAGAGTTTCAAATGAAATCAGACTAGCTTAGTAATGGTGAACTTTTTGGCAAAAATTCATAAAATATCTAACTTGGCTCTGCTGGCATGTACTCCCCAAACAAAAAATAAACGAATCTTTCATATTCATTTATTTTTTTTAAAAAAATACAGTCCAATCATCCTTGTGATCCTCAAGATCTGCTGTTTACATTGGGACAGTGTTCTCTTTCTGCTGACAGGCACTTGGGGTCTACCCGAGGCTGTTCTGGGTCATACAAACCTTTGTCCTTGAAGCGGCTTTAAAGAATATTCTTCTGCAATCTTTGCAGCCTCTATAAACCAGGTGAAAGCAGACATTTTAATGTAATTTTCGGAGGCTCCAGAGAACAGAGAAGGCCACAGCCCTCTCACACAACTTCTAGAAAGTCTGGAAGTTGTGTGAAAGCATATCCCATTACTGTGTGGCCTTGGCAGTCTTTAAAAAGTGCGCAAGAACAAGGCATGCCTTTGAGAATAGTTGTTGCTGATATTGGTGAACGCTTTATGTCACCAAAAACACGGATTGTCACCTCTGGCATATGTACCATAACTGGCTTAGCTAAACTAGTGATTCAGTACCTCAATAAACTCTTGGATTTTGTCACAAATTCTGAGTTCATAATAAGGAAAGTGTTGCGGCTTCTGTTTGGCCATGGCTTTTATCTTTTGTTTTCCTTCAAACTGTTCTTCATTCTTGAAAACTAGATATTATCAAATCACCAAGAGCGAAAAACTAAAATTGTTCCATTTTTCCCCTGAGATAACTTTTACTTTCCCTTCTGTCTCAGTTATGCTGAACAATGTGATCTAAATTTATCTGATAACACTGAGCAATTTAATTTCCACCAATGGTGCCATTGTGTTAATGGACTTATACCGGAGGGGCTTTTGCCATGGGGTGGGAAGAAATAAAAGCAGAATCCAGGTCACTCAGCATTACACTGTGTGAATGATACACAGAGAACGAAACATAATGTAAAATCTGAGCTTTAAGTAAAGTGGACATACATGTAGGTTGTTACTGTTAAGGAAACTACCTGGACATACCCTGTAGTATTTAAATGAGTTTCACTTTGACTGTCATGTGTCTGATTAACGAAACACTTCAAAGAACTTTCAGGCATTTTTTTAACCTAAAAAGCTTTTATTAGTGTTACAGAGATGTCAGCACAGCATGGTGTGCCAAGATCTGAATTTCTCTTCCTTTGCACATAACATTCCAGGCATTTCCCCTCCCCTATTTTGGGGTCATGATTCACATCTTCCAATTAACTTGGAGGGCAAAGATTCACTTCCGGTTCCCCCCCCCGCCTTTCCTTATATTCTCCTCGCTTTCCTTGTCACCTGATTTAACTCTAAAAATACCAGACAGTTCTGCATATTGTCAAAGCAATATTCAATATTAGCAGCGTTGACATCGACATTTTACTAGATTAGTTTTCGTTAAATTTCATCTCATTGGTAATAAGTGACTTCTGCTTTGAAACTGAAGCTTTTCTAGTGATATGTCAATTTCTATTTCTCTCTACAGTAAAAGTGGAACAGCTGAAATATAGTAAATTTCTCACCATTTTATTTTTAACCGATTTATGTATCATCAGGTCAGCGTTGACTCTTACCAACCACGTAGACTTTCTTCATGATGATCTGTCCCTAATCTTTAGGTATTCTAATAGTGCACCAATCGTTACTGTTACTGAGTAGTTTCTTAAATTAGTGCAGCATTTACAAACAGAAAAAAAATCTTAAATATTTTCTTTAATAAAATAGTTTTCTGTATTTAATATGACACGGGGAGGATATTAGTACTTTGAGGGTACTTCTCACTAACCATCTGAGAGTAATTAATTCAGAAGCTAGGATGAGAATACAAATGCAACAAAGAGAAGCTTGAAAGATACGTGTGTTCCAGCCTGTCACAAAAAAATAGTAATCTAGTCTTATGTTTTATTTAAAAAGAACCCAAAGAACCCAGACAAAAATGGAAGTCCCATAGTTTAGTGTATGCCACCTGTTTTAGTCACAAAGAAACACGATAAGCAAAAAAGATATTTAGTTTAATACAAATTTTATACAAAGAAAATGTGAAAAAATACTTCCATATGCTAAAAGCAATTATGCTTCACAAATAAGGCCAGCTAGGCTATCTTTGACACAACTGCAATTCACAAATAGTCTGCTCTTGATTTTTTTTTCCTGTTCATTTTTGTTTTCTTTCCTCTAATGTGCATACTAGCTGGAGACTGTACAGACTGCATTCTGTATAAACAATGGGAGAAATCAATTATGACTAAAATGTACAACAAAATGTACTGGAATGATATCATACAATTAAATTTGCTCATATACATACATCATCTTGCTTTGTTCAATGCTTTTGTTTATACAACATACAAAATGATACTACAGTATAAGTGTAACAGACAGTGTTTTCATGGATTACTTTCTCTCTCATACTGTACTGCTTCATGCTCACATAAAAACATAAAAAAATCCCATAATACATGCTCTAGCCCAGCATCAATGTCTTTTACCCATTTTCCCAAGCGACCTGCCCATTTCTTATTCTTGTGTTCCCTTTTTCCAAAGTCCTCCAGAAAAGCTTGTATGGATATGTATGTGTGTGTAAACCCAGTAGGAAGGGTATCTCCCAGATCCACTTGTGTCCAAAATATTTGATTACTGTATTGCCAACTGTTATTAAGGTTCTTGTTTCCTTTTCTTTAGTATTAACAAAACTTTATTTTTTGTAAACATTCTCTCTCACATTAAATACGCTACACAAAATTTGCTGTTTAATGTACTTGAGACCCAAAGATTGAAAATTATTTTTTTTAAAAATTGCCAGTACTAATTTCAGTTGCACACACAGAGCATTGTCTTCTTTTCCAAATACAAGCCAACTATTCCGGATCTTCTCTTCTTTAAACTCTAAAGAGGAAGAACGGTTTCTATGTGCAACTGTCATTCCCAGAAGATCATTCCTCTTGATGACATTTAGGCAAGCCTGATTTAGTCTTTCCTTCACAAATTTCCAACATGTGCTAAAGTCAGTACAAATATAAAAAAGGGATGGCACTCTTAATGTCATCCACAAATTGTACATAATTTACAACAGTATAGATTTATCATCAATTTTATCAGTCCTCTGGCTTTTTAAAGCCAACACTAATGCTTTACATTAATGTAGTGTAGTTAATGCTTTGTACACATGTACAAAAGTAAAAGTCTCAACCTTTGAGGTTAATCCAAAAAACTGTAGGCATTTTTTTTTCACATTTCTAATGAAGAGATTATTATTGTTCCAACAGTTGCCTGGTCTCCTTTATTAGCAGTTAGACTCTTCGTACTTGGACAGGCATGGTCGTTTGAACGTACTGAACTCCTGTTCTCATTGCCACAGTCCCAGCTGTAGGACTTACTACTACCGGAATGGTCTGCAGATTTAAAGCAAAAAGATACATCGTTTCAGAAATGCAGAACTGTGTCATGTAAAAAGCCCAAACAGGCTATCATCAAAAACTTCGTAACACACCACTATGTAAATTACTTCTGTAATGATACAAGACAGAGTATTGATTGCTAGTGTTTTGTTCCACAATATGCATTCTCAAGCCTGCAAATAAATATTTTTCAATATATTTACAAATAATTCATTAATAATAAAAGCTCAGACAAAATAAAAATAGGCCTTCAAGAGATCAAAATCAAATGCTAATTCATATGTGTGTTAGACAAATAGCTGCACTGGTTGTCAGGACTATTTTATAATTCCAGAAATTATTTACTGGAAATGCTTCAGATAAAAAATGCCAACATGTGAGTATATAATCATAATTTCAATGGTAGCTTATGTGCATAATATAGAAAATGATGTAAAAAGCCGATGTTCAACAGAGATTATCAACTACAATATTTAAATGCAACCTATATCAATACAGATTTTCATTTTGGCTCAGTAATTATATAATTCAATAATTCAAACTGATGAAGGTTAGTCAAACGTTTTTATTCATTTGATTTATGTCTTTCTTATTCATCAAAATTTGCATGGCCACAGCAAAAGAATTTAAAAATAATCCTGAGAGATCACAAAACTGTTAGTCAGGCATAATACACTAATTCAAAGTATTTTTATAAATAGTATCAATTCACTGAATTAGTAGCCTGCCATTTATCCATCTGAATAGTCATTGATAATTCCATCTTCCAAAATTTCACCAATTTTTCTTACACAGTTATAACCAAACTAGATTTGGAATAAACACTTTTGTCAATTTTGTTATGCCGCAGCCAGATTCTAGTTGTTGAAATTCATTTTTTCTCATTAATCTACACTCATAATGACAAAGTGAAAATAGAAGTTTAGAAATGTCTGTAAATTTATTAAAAAGAAAAAACTGAAATATCACATTGGCATAAATATTCAGACCCTTTGCAACACTTGAAATTCAACTCAGGTGCCTCCCATTTCTCTTGATCATTGCTGACATGTTTCTACACCTTGATTGGAGTCAGCCTGTGGTAAATTAAATTGATTGAACAAGATTTGGAAAGGCACACACCTCTCTACAGAAGGCCTCACAGCCTTCTAGGAACAGATACTCTGGCCTGCTAAAACCAAGATTGAATTCTAAAAATTATGTCTGGAGAAAACCAGGCACTGTTTATCACCTGCCCAATACTATCCCAAGAGTGAAGCGTGGTGGCAGTATCATGCTGTAAGGCAGTGGTGGCGAACCTATGCCACGGGTGCCAGAGGCGGCACTCAGAACGCTCTCTGGGCACGTGTGCCATCGCCCCAGTCCTAGGCCTTCAGCTGGGTTTTATAAAACCTTTTCGCTTTAAGCCTTCGCCACCATGTACAAAAAAAAAAAAAAAAAGTTCAATCAATCAGTCAATTTCAACTTCTTGCGGGGAAAAAAAAGATCTTGCAAAGTTGGAATTGATTGATTGATTGAACTTTGTAGTCCCACCCAGTCTGTTACCACTGCAGCCACGCCTACCCAATAGGCCACACCCACCCGGCACACAACGATGCATAAGTGGGTTTTAGGTTGCAGTTTGGGCACTCGGTCTCTAAAAGGTTCGCCATCACTGCTATAAAGGGTGTTTTTCAGCAGCAGGGACTGGAAGACCGGTCAGGGTTGAGGAAAACCTTAATGGAACACAATACAGGGATATCCTCAATGAAAACCTGTTCCACAGCGCTCAGGACCTAAGTTGGGGTGAAGGTTCACTTTCCAACATGACAAAGATCCTAAGTACACAGCCAAGACAACACAGGAGTGGCTTAGAAACAACTCCATGAATATCCTAGAGTGGCCCAGCCAGAGCCTGATTTGAACCCTATTGAATATCTCTGGAGGGACCTGAAAATGGTTGTCCTCCAACCTGCCTGAGCTTGAGAAGATTTCCAAGGAACAATGGCAGAAAATCCCTCAATCCAGGGCAGTGGTTCTCAACCTGCGGGTCAGGACCCCATTTGGGGTCGAATGACCATTTCACGGGGGTTGCCAAACAATTGAAAGCCAATTCTATTGGCTTTCAAAAGCCAATAGGAATTGTCCAGGCTGTCTCTCCCCTGCTGAGCCTGCCAAAAGTTCCATTCTGCAAACGGTGCTGCACCAGTTGAGTAGTCCTCGACTTACGACCGGTTGAGTAATCTTCAACTTATGACCGGTTGGGGTCGCGGCATTAAAAAGGTTGAGAACCACTTATCCAGAGGTACAAAGCTTGTTGCGTCATACCCAAAAAAGACCCTAGGCTATAATTGCTACCAAAGGTGCTTCAACAAAGTTCTGAGTGAAAGGTCTGAATACAGTATTTATGCCAATGTGATATTCCAAGTTTTTTCTTTTTAATTTACAGACATTTCTAAAATTCTGCTTTCACTTTGTCCTTAACGGGTGCTAAGTGTAGATTAATGAAAAAATGAATTTCAACTGTAGAATCAGGCTGCAGCATACAAAATTGACAAAAGTGAAAGGGGGGTCTGAATACTTTCTGAATGCACTGTATATGTGTGTGTGTGCGCATATATGTACACATGCACACATACATACACTATTAGAACTATTTTTTATTCTTCAGCACCTCTCAGACAAAGATGTATTTTAGAAGAGTGTAAAATATTTCAAAACCAAAACTTTCCTAGCTTGAAGTTTTGAAGTTGAAACTGTTGGACTGTTCTGACTATAATAAAAATGTTTCATTTTAACTAAATGTGGATCAGCCCATTTTAAAATCTGAATCTGAAATATTTACATATCTTTACTGTTCTCTATTCCTGCTGCTGGTAGAACTGAATTAGAAGAATAGAGTTTCCTTATATATATTATAAATACAATTCTTTTCTTCATTCTGAGAAGTACAATGGAGATGAGCCCACCTGGTAAATTTATTAGCAAACTCAATGTGCATTCCATAATTCTAGAAGTATACAACTAAAATCAACTAATAAAATAAAATATTTTTAGTATGTACAGAAAAAGAATTCCTGAATTTGGGCAGGCCATGGAGCATATGAATATCAACATTATGATGACATACATAAGAGTAAATGTATACGCTGTACATTTGGAGCTACCAGTGAGATACATGTTGATATCAGCCAAGGTCTCTCTACCAAATTATTTTATTTACAAGAAAGTACAGTTCTTGTCTATAATCACACCTGTACTCCTGTTCCTTCCATAGAGAATCTTTGGTCACTAAATGATAGCAAAAGGTGGAAGCTGTCACACTGCTTCCCTGGTATGTCAGCAAAAACTTTCTTTACATGGACATAGATAGTCTTCGGATTATGACAGCAATGGGAACTGGAATTACTGTCCCTCAGAGATGCAATCGTAAAGCATGACAACACATGACTGTATCATTTTTCCTGCAATCACAATTGCTGACATTAAGTGAGACCACACAGGTCATTAAGCAAGGACTGCAACCTCTGACTTTCTATGACTTTCTAGTGACTTCCCTTTTGACTTTGTTTGTGGGAAGCAAGCAGATTGACCATAGTTCATTGTGATGTCATAACTGTGAGCTGGGTGCCTGGATCATGCCATGTGACTGAGGGGATGCTGCAATGGCCACAACTCCAAAGACCGGTCATAACTACCACTTGTTCAGCACATTGTTAAATTTGAACAGACACTGTTACAACTTTCATAGTTAGCTTCTGACAAGCAAAGTCAATGGAGGAACCGCCAGGAAACTGCAAGTTACAATCATTTGATATTGTGCTTAATGACCATACGTTGGCATGGTCATAGGACATTACACAAGGTCTGTGCTGTTTAGTAATAGAATTGTCAGTTGCAATTCTGATTGGTAAATTAGGTCTACCTGTAGAACAAACAAAGACTTTAGTTGAAGAATGCTGCATATTATCATTTTCCAATCATAGCATAAAGCAGGTCAAATTTCAAGTTCTTAGTACAGGATATTTCCAATCATCAGCCATCACCCCCTCCCATAGTTCCTGAGAGATTTCATTATTTCTCTGGATTCCTTTATTGAGCATGAAAAGATTTTGGGAATAGAGAAGCACCGGCTAAAAAATTAAATGCAGTTCATGCTTATTATGGAACAAAGACATAATTCAATGATAGGCAACCTCTTAGATGAATGTGGAATCTGATAGCATATTTGTTCTCTGATAGAGCTAAAATATTTTTTATTTCTGGAGGACTGGGGGTTTCTGGGTCTTAAAACACCTGTTTTGTCCTTACCATCAATGTCATCAAAATGCAAAATAGCCTACATCATACAACTCTGACACTTTCCAACACTGCCTGAATACTAGATGGAACACAAACCAAATTGTAATCTTGGCCTAATCTTAAACTAAGAGCATCATTGCCCATGTCAATAAGGACATTTCCAAATATTCTATTATGTCTGTCTGTCTATCTCTCCATCTATCTACTTTTTAAACCTGTTTTGACCAAATTTCTTGGATATACAGAAAAACTATTAGCAATTTAAAGCATTCAGAATATTTAAGAAATTAATGAATGGTAAAATTCAATGCACAATTTTAGTGGTTAGTGGGAAGCACAGATGATCTTAGTGGATGGTGGGACTCTTGTAGGAGGAAGCATTCCATAATGTGACCTAGGACCAATCCATATAAGGCGTTCAAATAATATGTAATACTTTGTACCATACCTAGAAATTAACTGATACCCAATGTATCACAGAAAGCCATGGAAAGTTCCAATTCCAAATTCAGAGACTGAGGGTTAATTAATTGGTGTTAATTAACATTCATTAATTAATGTTAATTGTCCCACAACTTTAAACAACTATACAGGAATATTTACATACGATGTATGCAACAAAGTATCACTTTCTTCTGAATAAACTGCCACAGCACAGACTCTCAAATGACCTCTATGTTGTGCCTTACTGGTGTTATAACGAATTGTTATCATTAGTGTTCTAGCCATCTTACTTTCTCCTTCATTCCACCATGCTCTTCCATGAGCTACATATTATGAGGGGACTTTAAAAAGGGAAGATGGTATTCATGCAGTTTTGTCTACCACTCTAGTAAATTCCCATTTCTAGAACCCAATCAGGCATTATCTGAATTGCCTGCAGAATCTTATTTTAAAACACTGTTATGACTCCTTGGAAAAACCAGTAGATCCAAAAAACTGACTTTGTCCTCCAGCTCTACACAGATGGAAAGTGACTGCAGTTCATTCATGACAATGGGGCATGATATGGGAATTCACCCATGAACCATTCTTTCAGCTGAATAAAAGACCAACTGATGTGACCAGCATTCTACTTTGCCCCTAAGATCCAAAGTCATAAATGTCACAGCTGCTATGAATTCCTGAGTCATACCAGATAGCCCAGGCTGAAATTGATGTGGAAGTCTCCTAGCACCTAGAATTATATAAGCCACTTAGACTTGCTTAAGTGATTGAGAAAGTATATAAGCAAATCAGTAAATTAGCTATGAGGTGGTTGCTATACACAACCACATTTCCTCTCCATCTAACTCAGAAGTCCCCAACCTTTCCAACTTGGTGGCCCAGCCTAGGGATGTGTGTGTGTGTGTGAATGGCAGGCACATGTGTATACACACACTCCAGTCATGTGACAACTAAGTTGCCAGGTTAGCTAGCAATTTTGAAATAAAAAAGCTTTTTTTTTACAAAGGAAAAAATTGTTTGAATGTGCAATCATTTTTACACAAAACACAGCAGCTGAAGAATAGCATAGCTTTTTCTAAACTGCTTCAGAAACCATGATAGCAATATAGAATTTTAAATCAATAAATGAAACTTGACTCTTTGATTGTCCTGTATGACAATGTATGGTGTAAAAGAAATAGAAATGTATAGCAAAATAAAGCATTTTGCACAGCAAATAGAGTTAAGACCAGTGAATTCATATTGTGGTAACACAGGAGAAAGCCCATCCTCCCTCCAAAATAAATGAGCTGTTTCAATGCCAAAAGCAGTACTTACACTTGTGGGTTGAGTAGTTGGCATATAGGTAGTGGTCTGCGGTACCTGGACCAACTTTATAGGCTGGCTGCTTGTCACACCTGTTGCTATCTGCAGAGACAGCACAGGTAACCAGAGTGAAAGGTTCAGTTTTTATGTCAATGCCACCTATTTATTAACATGGTCTTGGATTTAGATCTTGCTTTTCATAAATGGAAGGACTCCCTCTGATTGCTGGGAGAAGAGGGGAAATGATTTTTACAGATTCCTCCTCTCTGCTGCATCAAAAGCCCCCATCAATCTGCTATGGGGGACAAGGAAGTGTTGAGAGATCTTTGTGAAGTATGAGAGATAGAGCTACATATTGTGATAGATGAGATTACCCATTTTTTTTTGGTCCTTAGTGAAATTTGCTCACAATTTTTTCCCCATTTGTGAAACCAAACTCTGGATTTAACCCATACAAATGTCAGTGCTTGGCTTAAAAAAACACTTCCATTTTAATGAATTCACAGGTTATATTTTTATAAATAAAAGCAAAATTTAAAATATGAAAGTGAGCAATGCATATAGCTTGATGTCTCAAACAGATATAACAATTATGTGAATGCAATTTGAGATTTCCAAAGCAGAATATTTCATGATAAGAACGTTATCACAGAGCACAGTACAATTACAAGTAACTGGGCATCTATTTAGCCATTTCTTGTTAAGATATATAGTATTTTTCAGTGTATTGAATACTAAATATGCTCTGTTCCATCCTTTCTTTTTCTCTAGACCTATGACTCTTTTCCTCAGAATAAATAAAGCAAAGCAATTAAATTATATAGTTTTGTAAGAGATACTAACTTCTTGAGGTTGTAGCCCATATAAAATGTCATGATAAAAGAGTTTCATTTTTTTCAACAGAATGTACTATTGTGCTTTAAGTAAAACTAATAGGGACATACAGGAATGGATAGAAAACAGAAATGTACTTATTAATAAAGTTTTAGTTTATTGTAACTTCTAGTATTGTTTTAAAAAGAAAGCGAGGACCCATATTCGACCCATACAAGATAAAGAACAATAATAGTTATCTATATATGGCTAGCAATTCTAGTGTCTGTTATTCTGCAGAAGAATAAGGATACTGAATTAAGCAAAGATGTGGATAAATATTTTCAAAACTCAGTTTTCAGCACTTGACAAAAGAACTGGGGCATGATACCATACACATTTCACAATAAGAGAAGACTTGAGGGATATTTGTGATGAGCCTGAGCAGTCACTACACCTCCAGGTGGGTGGAGCCAGGGCAAAAATCAGGTGAGAATTCATCATATTATGCAATGAAAAAAATATGGTAGCACATACAAGATTAGATACGTTCTGGATCCTTAAGAACTAACTCTGTAAAGGTAAAATAAAAACCAAGGTATTTCACCAGCTCTCAATAAAATAAACTAAAAAACCAAACATTTATTGGTGCATCCTTAAAGAAAGGATGCACCAAGGAGGACATACTTACCGTAACACTTTCCTTGCTTTTTTCCACAGCTGCCTCTTTTTCTTTTGGAGCACTGGTTGTTTCTGTAGGTGCAGGCTGTGCACTGGAACCAGGTTGGGATGCTTTGTTTAATGTTTCTGAACTAACTTCACTATCTGTCTCTTGCTGTGTTGCAGTAGCTAAAATAAAAACCAAGCAAATTTAAAAATGGAGGTCATATTCATTCACAAATAGATTGAAAGTTAAATAACGTAACTGTAGAAACACTAGCCAATTACCTGATTGTGTACAAGATTTCATATGTTCTGGCCAATGAGCTTGTTGGCAAGGATAGTCACAATAGCTGGTATTCCAACAACAGTAAAAGATGGCCTCTTTTTTGCAGTTGGCACACCACTGTTTCTTTTTGGTCTCATCTACAGCTTGTTGCTTTTCCAATTCCAGTTGTTTCTTCACTTCTGCAATTAAACGATCTCTTTCTTGCTCTAAGCTTTGTCGCATTTCAGCCATTGTGAGTTCTAGGTAACAGATGAACAGCATGTAACTGATCTCCAAGTAATAAGAGTACGCTACCTTAAAGGGAATAAAACATACTAATTTATTACAATCAAGGTCAACAAATTTATACTATAATGTGTATACGTATATATGTAAGCTTACTATATAACAGTGGTTCTCAACCTTTTTAATGCCGCGACCCCCAACCGGTCGTAAGTCGAGGACTACTTAACTGGTGCAGCACCGTTTGCAGAATGGGACTTTTGGCGGGCTCAGCAGGGCAGAGACAGCCTGGACAATTCCTATTGGCTTTTGAAAGCCAAGAGAATTAGACTCTATTCAATAGAGTCTATTCTATTGGCTTTCAAAAGCCAATAGAATAAAAGGGAGTAGCACAGCTAAGGAAAAGGGGGAAAAAAATGGCGGACTGCATTGTTTGGCGACCCCCGTGAAATGGTTGTTCGACCCCAAATGGGGTCCCGACCCACAGGTTGAGAACCACTGCTATATAAGGTCTTAAGAACTTCCATGTTTTTTTATTTTTGAAACAATCCACTATTTTTAGGTGTCATTCAAGAAATAATTGCCAATCAATTTAAGAGGTTTATTGGCTATCATGATGATGTACTGTGACAACTGAGCTGGACCACTATAATTGACTATAGATATGAAAAACAGATCAGCACAGATGTTCCATTACATACCAGACTATGAACCACAAAAATATTTAACAAAAATATTGATATTTTTATACCCAGATTATGTTTCATTTCTGAGAGCTCTTGCTGATGTAACCACTGAAGCTTTTCAATTTCAATTCTCAGACGACGAATCTGAAATATTAAAAAAAACAGTAATACCAGGAATGTCAGTCAAAATAGAAATAAATTCTTCTTTCTCCTCTATCCCCACATTTATTACTTAGGGGGACTCTTTAAATCAGCTCTGGGTGACAGGAAAGGAGTGAGAGAGACCATGAAAGAAAATCCAATTGCACTGGATGAAAATCTTTATTTAGAAACTAATCACTCTTATGAAAACATTTTTCTCAGAATAAATATGCTTTCTATAAACTAGGCAAAATAAATAACGCACCTACTCTTTCTCCCAGTGGAACAGAAAGAAAGGGCAAATGTGCATGAATCAAAAGGTGAAATAAAGCTCTTCCCAAAGATATATACTTGTTTCTCCTGTCTTATAGTAAATACTATCCCTTTCAACTCAAATTTTAAGTTGTATTGTATTGTGTTCACTACGTAATCCGATATAATGATATTGTGAATTAAGTACTTCCAAATGTTAATTGGATCTTGGATAATTTGTACAATAAATAGGCTGCACTATCTTTTCTGGTAGAGCTACTAGAAAAATCTTTAAAAACTGAATTTACTGTACCAGTTATGAAGTAGTGTTATTATATTGTTACTTTTGGCATAGAAGGTCTTATCCATATGAGATAAATTCTTTATTTTACTATGGTCTCTCATGCACATAACACCCAATTAATTATTTCAAGAGTTAACATAAGAACAGAGACAGAAACAAAAGGTTTAAAATAGGGATGTGCAACTTTCATCAGGCCAAGGGCCATACTTGGCCATTATATTATTTCTCAGCCTTCTAGGTCGCTCCAGCCTAGATTACTCTGAATGGCTTACAAGACTTCAATACTTAAGGTGAAAAAAACAACAAAAACACCACCTCCAAGTAACACACATATAATCTGCAATATACCTGAAAACATATGACACCATTTTATTCAGGAGCAGTGATAAGCCTTCCATTCCAGATGTTAATGGCCCTCCAAAATGTTAGTAAGAAAAGGCCTGGTAATTTATGGAGAACTTCCCCAAGAAGGGGTAATGTTCACAGTCAGAGTAGCAACTGCTCAACAAAGCCTGGCCTTCCTTTTGGATTTCATTGGATAGATGCATTCCGTATGAAGTAAAGAGTCTTGTTAGGCAATAAAGAGCTTTAAAGTGTATACCAACACATTCAGTTGCAGAAGGCCAGTGTAGCTCCTGCTGCAGAGGCATTATATGCATAAACTAAGCTGGACTAGTTACTATCTAGGCTATGACATTCTGAACTGAACTTTCTGGATGGTTAAGGATAGCTTTCTGTAAAACCAGATATAACAGCCAGTTATGTCCCAAGACTTGTACTCCCAAGTCAAACACATACAATGGACTATTCAATTAATATGACTGTTCCCCATATATTTGTATCTCCCTTTCTATCACATTAAAATTGTATTGATTATAATTTTGGAGAGTCTAGAGATTATAATCAAGACTTTTTAAAGAAGTGCCACTGGTCCTCAAGCCATAGGGCAATACTGCTGGATTTAACACACATATTAAATTGGAAGGGTAAGATTTTTAACTACAACTTAAATGCAGCTTCAAAGAGCAGCTTACAAAATCCTATCTAGCAAGAGAACAAAAAACAATATATCAAAATATATACAAAAACCAAGCTAGAGGAATATCAAACTCCAAATTCATACCATAGCAGGGTATATTTCCATCTGTCACAATTCTACCTTATAAGCAGATTTTAACAGCTTTCCAGACAGCTAAAAATGAGAGAGCCAGTCCAATCTTCGGGAGGGGTAGAAGCAATGCTGTTTTAAAGAAGAGGGATCAACCCTTTAGGAGAGGTACCCAAAGAGAACCCAGTCTATAATTGGATGAGCAGAAACCATTGGAAATAGTGGTTCCAAAGACATCCTGGTCACAAATCATATACAGTTTTATAAGTGACATACAGGACCTTGAACTGAATCTGGAAAGTAATTAATAATATATAGCAGTTATGATAGTTGAAGTAGGAATAATTAGTGGCATATATCACTACTCAAGCCACTGCCTTCTTGATCAGTAGTAGCTTCTTGGTGACTTTCAAAGGGCAGCCCCATGTAGACAGTAAAGAATACTAACCTCAGCAATTGTGCTTCCAGTAGTATTTTTTGAAAGGTCATTATATATTTCAGTCATTGTTCCTTTTATAGCATCCATCATCTGTTTAAAAGAAAAAATACAGAATTAGATATTTATTTACTGGGAAGAGCTCCTTCAGTTTTGTTTACACCAGATTTGATGAAAAGGATACTAGAATATAAAATGGTTATTACAGATTTCATACTTTACATTAATTTACCATTCCAGACTTAAATGCTACTCTCAAGCAACTGAGCCTGTTGAAGAGCACTGAATATATTCCCATCCCCAAATTTAAAGCACAAATATTGTTTAAGCAGGATCCCCTTCACTTCCAAACTTACCACTGCTTTCGCTTGATAAACAAAAGTAGCAGCTCTATCTCCAGCAGCTACCTAGCAATGTATTCCATGGAAAACCACCTGGCATTGCACCTTAACCTCTGTTCAAAAAACTATGGAGAAGAATTGGCAAAAGTAGACACTATAATCTCTTTGCTTGGTTTAAAATCTGTATCTGGGTATCATGCCTTTTACATTCAAGTGGGTAATAAATAACCCAGGTCAGAGGGAAGATTAAAACATTATATACCTTTCTCTTGCTCTTCAAGTGAAGAATCTAGATAAACTGGGGGTTATCATTCACTTTGCATTCTAAACCTTTTTTCCTCAATGCTATAATCTAACCTCTATGAAAGACTATATATCAATTCTGCAATAAGACTTTGAATTAGCTTTGAACATTTGAACTAGCATGTTCCTAGAAAGGACATATTCAAGGGAAATTTGACATAATTCCATTGTTCTATGGGGACCAGTTTAAAATCTCACCATAACATGTTATTTGTGTCAGTGGGGTAAGTATATGCTGAGAGAGAAGGTGAACTAAGCTGAGTGTGTGTCTGTGTGTGTGTGTGTGCGCGCGCGCGTGCGTGTGTCTGTGTGTGCATATTAAGTAAATGAGATGGACGGGGAATGGAAAGGATCTGTGTCTGCTCTAGGCAAATGAACCAGGAAAGCAGGCCTGTCTTGAATGGCCTTGTCCACTGTTGTTATGTACTTATATGGATCTTTGACCATGAAAGAAATCCTCCAACCATCTTCTAATGCAGTGGTGGCGAACCTATGGCACGGGTGCCAGAGGTGGCACTCAGTGCCCTCTCTGTGGGCACATGCGCCGTCGCCCCAGTCCTAGGCCTTCAGCTGGGTTTTATAAAACCTTTTGGCTTTAGGCCTCCGCCGCTGTGTGCAAAAAAAAAAAAAAAAGGTTCAATCAATCAATTTCAACTTCTTGCAGGAAAAAAAAGATCTTGCAAAGTTGGAATTGATTGATTGCACTCTTTAGTCCCACCCAGTCTGCCATTACCACTGCAGCCACACCCACCCAATTGGCCACACCGACCCGGCACCCGATGATGCATAAGTGGGTTTTGGGTTGCAGTTTGGGCACTCAGTCTCTAAAAGGTTCGCCATCACTGTTCTAATGTATCTAATGAACGCAAACAAATAGCACAGATAGATAGATTTAATAGGGAGAACAAATTAACCTGTGTTGTGCACAAAAATGTGAATAAAGGATTTATTCAAAACAAGTTTGTTTCCTGATGACTTTACAGACGTGTCCATATAGTTATTTTCAACAACAATATGGGATCCTTTTTTGTTTGTCTGTTAACTTCTTAGTATAGTCTACACCCCTGCGATCTCCAATGCAAGTACTAACCGCGCCTAACTCCATTTAGTTTCTCACCCTCAAAATGGTTGGCCAAGTTATTTTGGCTAATTTTCCCTTCTATTCTTATCTAAAAAACATAGAACAGGAAAAAAATTACGCAACTTCTGGGTATACATTAGGAGCCAACTTTAAATGTTGCTGTTACGTTCTGTGAGTTCAAATGTTAATCCTAATCCATGAGAATAGTGAAAATAACAAAGGAATGATGAACACTTTGCACATGTTAAAAAATGCATTGACTGAAATCAAGCATTAAATACACTTTTTAAAAAGCTTACTTTACTAGTATACTTAGCAATATCTGCAGCCACATCTGCTGAAGCAGTTGCTATTGGCAAGTCTGTATTAACTGAAGATGAAAGTGTATTTGCTGATCCAGAACTGGTTACTATAGAAACAGGCTGAGTGCTTGTAACCAGGGTGATAGTTGACGTTGAAGTACTCTGAGTAATTTCTTTTTGCTGTACAGCTAGAATACAAAACAAATCTGAAAATGAGTTACTATACATTTCAAAGCATTTAGAAAATTAAAAACAAGCCATCTCTGAAATAAATACTGTTTGGTAGTTTTTCTTAGTTACTAGAACTATACCATTTAATCTGTGGGTGATGTTATTAACAGAAAGCCTTAAAAATCAGACAGGAACAATAAGACATATTTCTGTGAGTATTCATCCTGATTTTATCAACTGTAAAATGCCCTGTAGGGATTCACACATTAATAAGGCATTATGTTTATTAGGACCAACCAGAACATTACAAAATCATTTAAAAGGTTTCAGTGTAAAACCAAAGTGGTAGTGGAAAAAAAAGAGGTGGTGAGTCCAAAGACTGCAGTTTTTAATGTTCTTAAAACAAAATACAGGCAATATTAAGTATTTAAGTAAATTTATATTTAAGTAAATTTGTTTTATTATATACTATATATCACAATATACAATATTACATCATAAATATTCAAGTTATGTGAAAAACTGCTGTTACAAATACAATAACTGTTTCTTAATATACAATATGAACTCAAGCAATTATTAGAGATTTATTTAAAGAGAATTCAGCCCACAATCAAAAAATGAGATAAGAGAGATCCAGTTTTTCCTTTCTCCTGCAATTTTTTTTTCCCCCCTTTCAAAATGTCGCTATGAAGGGCTCAGGAGTGATTTGTGAAAAGAGGATGGTCAGCAAAAATAACCACTTCATCCTGCATAAGGGAACATCTGCTGGTTCCAAAAGACTTTCATATTTGAGAAGAAATTTTCCTTTTATAGGATGGCCTATCTAGATTCAACTTATCACTAACAACAGTGTTATTATCATAATAACCTGTGTTCTTATATAATTTTCATGTTAAATCTATTAGGTTAATTACATCATCAATAAAAGGACTGGACAATTCATATTCCAACTGAAAGGTTTCTTACTATATGTGATGGTGGAAAGTTTGATAATTTCCTCATTTTTGTACAATTCATATTTGAGGTCTGGGCACAACTACTGTGAATGGATTGCAATGAGCAGACATTAGGAAAGGTGGGCAATACCTTTCACTGCTTGTCTTGTCTGGTATCTTGTTCCTTGGGAAGACTGAGGCTGCTGCTGCTGATTCTGCTGCTGCTGCTGCTGCTGTTGCTGCCTTTGCACCTTCTGCATATGCCATTTCTGGGAAGAAGTCTGAAATTTGTTTGAAGAATTCCATACTACCCGCTGCACAGCTGGGACGGTTTCCTTTGGTAGGAGAGGTCTCTGCTTTTTTACTGGACTGCCAGTAGCTGCAGCTGGAGTGCTGACAGCAGAAGCAGCACTTGTCGTAGCTGTAACACCGGCTGGGGGTGTCTGGGATGCTGATCGAGTAAGCACGTGGGTTTCAACTGGAGGCTGACTGTTGACACTTGAAGGAATTGGGGTTTTAGCTGCAGCTAACCAGGTAAAAAGCAAGAACAAAGATTTATTGGAAATTCAGTGTTATAAGAGAGTAGGATAAAACATTGATTTTCAAGCATTTGATTCTTTGTTATCAAGTGAAAATCTACTGTTTTAGATTTAGAAAAAATTTACAAGGGTTTGCAAAAGCATCATTTCACCCACAAGTATAATTAAATGGAAGTAAATAGCTATATATAATTGCTTAGAGTTTCGACTTTTTGTTTTGACGTTTCACTACTGTACTCTCCTGTCATTTTTACTTTCTTGTATGTCCTGTTTTTAATATTCTTTGTCACTAGTTTATATTTATCCATGATATCAGAAGCTGAAATCTTCGGATTTTGAAACAGTAAAACTGAAATCAAGGCATTTTCAACTAACAAAAGTTGCTGGTCCCAACTGCAGTTATCAAGAAACATGAGAAACCTTTAAACCCTTAGCTGTATTAGCATTCATATTTATCATAAGGCACATATATCTATTCTATATACCATCAGTTATGTTTCATTTGAGTCTCTTGAGCAGAGATTCATATATCTATTTTTTTAACTTTTAGTTCTCCTAAGGAATGACTCCTGGATCTTTTTAACGTTTTCCTCTGAAACAGTAGTTAAAACATAAGTCCTAGGATATTTCCTGCAGATGGAAATTCTTATGCAAGGTGGTATTCTGAAAGTGGTATTCAGTATTTTCATGATCAAGAAAAAATGTTAAAGTATCCTACCTTCTTGTTTAGGAGGCGATTCCTTGACTTCTTTTTTGTTTTTTCGTCCCTCACGACCACACTGGTCTTCACCTAGGTCAATAACCAGCTCATTTTCTGAATCAGAATCTAGACCAAGATGCACTGTTGGAGAGTCCGTCTCCTCTTTAGTTTTCAATTTTTCCTTTGCAGGATGTGACAAATTTTTCACTTTTTCTGTAAGCTCTTTATCAGAGTCTACATTTGCCTTCTCTTTGGCAGGGCTATTTATTTTCTCCACTTCTGAGCTTGTACTTTTAATTTCCTCTTTTTCTTCTGTTGGTGTTGGTGGCTTTAGTTTTTTTTTCACAATTAAAGATTCTTTATCATTTCTTATACCTTCTTTTTCTTCTTCTTCCTGATCATTTTTGGACTTCTGTTCATCATCACTGATATATTCACTATCACTGGAGTCTGACTTTTCAGAATCCTCTGAGTCACTATGCTCTACTGCAACATCTTCAGATATTTCATTGATTCCTAATCATAAAAAATAAACAATTTTTACCCCACTTATTTCCAATAGCTTATAGTTTAAAGATAAAGCCATGTGAATCAGTGAACATGCATATAACAGATCTATTCATAGCAGCCCACTGATTTTAAATCTTACAACAAAAATTCTGTGAAAGAAAATCTTTCATATTTTAATACTGTATGAAAGTAGCATTCGCTTGTTCAAAAATCTGAATACAAAGGGCTCTGAATCCTGGCTTCTTTGGATACAGGGCTAATACTCCATTATCAACTATATTTATGAAGTATTGGTAAAAAGAACGTATTCAGTGCATATACAATCAATCTTATCAAATACATACGGATACCTAGTTGTGCTTTACAACTCTCTATTGTTTTGTCAAGATTCAGCTGGAATCTGCTGCGAATTTGTCGTTTTGGTGAAATCAGTGGCACAGGAGTAGATTGCTGCTGGACAGATTCACTCAACTCTTTCAGATCCATTTCAGCTTTACTACGATCTAGAATATTAAGTTAAAATATTTCCATTAAGTAATTGAATTTAAGCAATCACAAAATAATTTAATTACATTCATTAAATATTATTGATTACTACTGCAAATATTGGATGCACGGTTATAAACTTATAATAGCTTATTTTAGGACAGGACAGAAGTAGGGGTGGCATATAAATTTTATTAATAAATAAATAATAAAAATTATGCATTTAATTATGTATTAAGATAGTACCTAATCAACACTCTGAACATTTCTTGTGCTAGTGAATAAATACTGAATAGGACACAAATAATCCTTAAGTTGATACCAAAGTTCCATATACTAGTATAATATAGTTGGTCCAACCTTAAATCAGTGCTCTCACAAAAATCAGCCATCATATTTAAGTAAAACTATCAGTTTTTTCAGTGGCACTTATTGTATTTAGGCTGAAAACCAAGAGAATATTAATCCAAAATTTAGTAGCAGCACTTGCAGGCAGGTGTGCTCTCTAATTACCACCATCATATATAAACCTCATATCCATTACTGCACGGACAATCTTATTTTACCAAGATTAAGATTAAGAATGCTGCCTGGAGTAGATGTTCTTTCTTGCTTTGCAGCTGTAGGAGTTGATGGTTGAGGAGAGAAAGGTTTGGGACTACCCGACAAGCTTCCAGTTTGGCCTGTCCTTGTTGGTGCTGGAGAAGCTGAAAAAGAATGTAATTGACACAAAGTAAATTTCAACTATAAACTGAGGTTATTTAGGCAGAGATAAAGGTCAAGTCCCTCTGTGTAACTTGTTTCCCATTTTTTGAATAGTAACTCCCTACAAAGTATCACAAATTGCTTTTGAAACTGAGAGCAAACACTTTCTCACATGAGAGAAACTGGCAATAAGGTACCTATGCAAAATCAATTAAAAAAACATAGATAAGGGACATGCAAAAGTAGTTCTTTCGTATGTTGGCCATGGAATCCAAATTAAATTATCTAATGTCAGAAAAGAAATAAGAAGCAAGGTATAAAAGTAGTGAGAAACTTCTTCAAGACTTCCAATGAAACATGCATTTCTAACCACTCTCTCTAATTCTTATCACCTTTTAAAGTTCATTTAACCAATATTCAGGGGAAACTGAACATCGAGGGAACGCTTATATAAATCAAGAATTACATAAAATATGAACTTGCTAACTCTTTCATTTTAGAACAGGAATATTTAGTTTTGGAATTCTTTCTTTTTTCTATCCATTTAAATTTCTATTTTTTCTTGTAGTAAATTTCATATTTAATATATTAAATATGAACCTTATTTAATAATTAACCATATTTAATGGTTAATTTTTTCTGAAAATAACTAATTCAAAGCAAAAAGACTCTCTTGAGGCATGTTTAATTCTGGATGACTACTGCTCTGTGTCTATGTAGTTTCTTTGGTGTCACTGCTGTCTTCAGGGATTTTTCAATATCCAATCTACCCTAATAGTGCTGGTATTCCCTCATGGTCTTTCATGCAAGTGGCACCTAAGGTCAGATCACGCTTAGCTTTTGAGGGATCATCCAAGAACATTTATATGCTGTCACTTAATTACTCAGTAATTACTTAATTACTTATTAACTAAGACAGTTCAGATATAATGACTGGCAAAAATAAATCATATTCTAACTGACTCCTTTGGTATCAAGCTAAGCAAGAAATCTAGGATAATATTTATGTTATAAAATATGTTTCAATATGCTGTTTAGCCTTTAAATGAAAAGCCATAATCTTTTGTTTTTTACATCACTTCTTCTAACGCAATCTCACATGGTTAGTACAAACCGTTGTGGCTAAATAATAGTCAATTTGAAATAAGGAAAAAGTTATCAACAGAGACCAGGAGAATGATCAGGTCTGCAGAATAACAACAATAATGTGAAAAATCTATCTGAAGACAATAGGTGAGAAAAGACAAGCTAACAAGAACCACCCAGGCAGTCATAAGCAAAAGCCATGAAGCATTGAATGACCCCAAAAAATCCTGATTGTAGGAAGTGGCTGCTCAATTTTTTTTCACAACAGAACATATACTACAAACCATTATACTAGGAATACTTGAATGAAAATAAGTACTGCATATACGTATTCCTAATATTTTTATTTTCTTTCCATAGAACAGACATGTCAAACACAAGGCCCGGGGGCTAGATGCGGCCTGCGAAGCCATCCTGGAAACAGTGAGGGAACGGCCCCCGCTGCCTTGGCCCTGGCTGGCTGGGAGCCAATGTACAATTTTGTGGTGGACATCTATGCTGAAACGCATTCAGTCTTAGCTCCACAAGGCCGTCTGGAAATAGCGAGGAACCAGTCCCTGCCGTGTCGGCCCCACCCCCTGGGTCCATGCTGGGAAGATGTCACCTTTGTGAGGAATGAAGAAATGCACCATCGCCTGGAAGTGGCCAGCAAGTGGCCCTCGCCTACTTCATATATCCAGCTTGATGGAGGGGAGGGGTTTTGGCAGGCAGCGGGGTGCTCTCCTCACAGCGCCAAGGTTGAACCAGGCGGTGCGAAGCTCGCCAGCTTTGCACTTTGCTGCCTGCTGAAATTGGGCAGACTGGGGGCTAGGCAGCATTGCACTTCTCATCAGATTTGCACTGCCCGGCGCAGCCTCTCAGCACTGTGAGGAGAGTGCCTCGCTGCCTGCCGAAACCGTACTTAGGAAAGAAGGAAAAAAAGAAGGAAAGAAGGAGAGGGAGGGTTTGAGAGAAGTCCTACCTTAGTCCTGCCCTGCTGCCCTTTCATCATCCCCTTGCCCCCTCCTCCTGGCCTATCCTGGGGGTCTCCCATCCTATTGCTAAGGAAGCTTTGGATACAAAGCCGGGTGTCCTCCCATAGAGAGGGAATGGGCTCCCTCTGACTTTGCCCTTGTACCCATCATGAGCAACCTGGCTAAGGAGACCAAGCACAGCAGCAGCAGCCTTGAGGAGGAGGTAAATGCAGCTGGGTGCCCCCTTGGGGAAGTGGGGTTGGGCTTGGTGCCGCAGACGCTTGAGGGCCAGGCTGGGCGTTTGACCTCTGCTGCCCAGGGCTCCGGGCAGCCTGCACCACCATCCAGCCCCCCCCCCCCCCACACGGCCTGAGAGGAACAGTGAGGCTCCTCCAGTAGACCATACCTTGGCACTTGCCCTGGTCCCACCCCCTTCTGCCAGAGATACTCAGATCTGTCCCACTCCTGCCCAGGCACCCACAGGCACCCTTGACGCGAACGATGTAGAGCTGGCCACGCCCACCCAGTAGGCCACGCGCACTCCATCCATGTCCACCCAGTAGGGCACACCCACCGTGGCCACACCCACCCAGCCCCCTGAGGGCAACCGCAATGCTGATGCGGCCCTCAATGAAATTGAGTTTGATACCCCTGCCATAGAATATCCATGAAATATAAATGAAATGTGAGCAGGAGTTCAAAATTAGGTGGGATATTCAATCCTCTTAAGATTTTTATGATAGTCTGTATGTGTGTGTATATATGTATGTGTATGTATGTATGTATGTGTATGTATATATAACATGAATATCACAAATATACTAAAGAACAATTTAGAACCTCAATGTCATTGTTCAAACAAATAAGGCACAATTTGTTTAGTTCTATTTAAAAAGTGTTATTAAAACAAGAGTGCATAACAAATAAAAAGAAATTATTCTGAAATGTTTAAAATGTGCTTTCCATAGGTAAACTGCTAAATAAGAGAATAAAAATAATTATTTTTTAAAAAGTATAAAGTACAAAGATATCCAGATTGGATCCAAATGAAGTTACATTTACTTCTTTGCTCTAGATCAGAAACAGCCGTACATCAATATTTAGGTGGTCTTCTGATATTATTTGTCATTCACCTAAGGAATTCAATGCAAATTAGTATGTTAAGGATAATGCTTGATATAGAATAGCTGAGCTTTCCAAATGGATTATAATAATTATAACTGGTTTATAATAGTTTATTCTGTTTAATTGTAACATTTGGCAAGCATTGATTTTAAAAAAGAAAGCAAATTCTGAGTTTGTTCAAGATCAGATTATTTCATTTATCTGTGGCCCAAATTTCCAAAAACATAAAAATGTTGGATATAGTGCTGCTGACATAAATATTTCTGAAACAATAAATTAACTTGATTAATTTTGTTTTACGTTATCTTCTTAATATTTTTGCCTATGACTGTAAATCAAATCTTGTTTCAGAAAGGTAAGTACTTTTTTCCTATACTCCCAAGAAAAATGTACAAAAACCTATTATTATGTACTTATCATTTCAGTATTCTCTGAACTCTGATTCTGTTTCATTATAATTTAGCAGCTGAGGACAACCAGAAATTAATTTTTAGAATACTAAGTTCTTTTAAATTAGAGGTGTGATCCACAATGATGTAATATGATATAAATCTGCAAGGCACTAAACAGACACCTTGCTGAAAAATTATTGAGTGCATAGGTTATTAATGGGAGTGAGAGTCCAATTAACCCTGAAGACTACAAAGCATTTTTCTATGTACTAGTTTACATGATAACCATATCATGCTCCTCCTCTTGCATGAAGCCCCTCTAATTTAATACCTTTTGTTCAGTTAACTCAGGGCTCTTCCCTACATTATAAATTCTTCCCAGGTGGCTGACCTATCACAATTTACCCTGTTATTAGTGTGGGAGACAACCTTTATGCTTCTACCCATCTCTTATAATTGGTCCCAAGAACATTGGATAGAAGCTTAGGAATACTGCTGCACCTGAGTCTAGTAACACATCCTATAAAGTATTAGAAAAACTTTCCTTCCAGTTTTATAAAATTCCCTCCACTGGTTGATGTTAAAGTTCAAATACCATCTGATATAGCAATTTTGTTTCTGTACTCTTACCCGTACTTTTATCAATAAAATCCATGGACTCTTCACTTGCACTAAAGTGACTAGACGTTGCTTTTTTCTCTCCATCCTGTTCCACATCAGATCCAGTGTGTACTGATGAATTTGTACTCATTGGTGAACGTGGCATGTCTGTTAGGGAAATTCTTCGTCCAGTACTGCTACTTAGCATAGGTTTGCTCATTAAAATCTTGGGTGATGCTGTCATATCAAAATTAAGTTTGATTTTCTCTTGTTTATCTGTCTTAGCAGTTCCAGCCCCAGGATTTGAAGGGTCTAACAACATTTGGTACTGATTGTTGGGAGTATATGGTGTCCGGAAAGGTGCATAATTAAATACGCCAAACTTTCTACGAATGTTCTCCACATAAACCTCCATCTCTTGCATTGCACTGTTGAATATGCTTTTAGTCTTTTTCACAGAAAAAGGAATTTCTTTAGACATGAGGTAGCAATTATTTACTGGAACCCAGGCTCTGCAAATAAGATAGTAAAAGAAACCATATAAATGGTACCTAATTTTTATTTCAATTCTAAACATTGTAAAAAGCAATTCTTATACATTTCAATGGGTGTTTGATACATGCTTAAGGTAGAAACTTTATTTAGCACCTACTTGTAAACTGAAAGGTCTACTTAATCAGACTCCAGCAAAAATTAAAGTTCTAGAAATACATCTTTCAAAACAATTCATTAAAAAAATAAATTAAGGAAATTCAAAATCCAATCTTCAAATACTAGGTGATGTGCAAAAGACTATATATTGCAATTCAAATTTCTTAAACTGACGGTGATACAATAACAAAGAAATAACCGTTAACTTCAGTTATTCTTTTATTGCACAGCAAATCATTTTGCAATATTATGCTTACATTATCATTTAGTCCACTCTATATATGTGGTGATTCCTTAGGACTAAACTATTGGTATATATAAATAATTCCTTCTACTGTTACATTTGGTGGCCACCTCATGATGACCAACAGGCCAGTAAAAGAAGGCCCCACCATAATAAATATAAAAATTTCTACATATTTGAGGATACTGCTCAAAATCCAGGAAAAAAATTACTTTCTTCATAAAAATAAAAGCCCATATTTTAATTGGCTCTCTTCATGAAATCGATGTATATATATATAAAGTTTCCTGTTAAAATAAAGAACACTAGAAATAGTTAGAAATCCTGTAATTGTATCACAGAAACAATAGCAGTGAACAAAGAGGCTTTTTCTGTCACTTGAACAAATATCAAATCTTTCAAACCATGTGGGATAAATCCTTCCCTCATGATTTACACTGAGGTTTAGAGCTTTTATGTAGCTGAAAATTCTTCCTTTTTACAGCACTCAAATTAATGGTCGACCATGACCATTTCTGAACAAAAATTCCTTTTACAAATCCTAACTAAAATGGACTTTCTAATTCATAATTTTGTCATGTCTGGTTACGTAAACATCAGTTACCAAATCTGACTAAATGTATCCCTTCAGTGGACAAAATTATGTTATCTTTTTAGATTTTTAAAAATGAGTTCTCCCAATGTGCTTCTTATATTCTGTACAAAAAAAATCACTATTTGCAGAATGTTAACATTTTAACTAATGCAGCTACCACCTAATCATTCACCAAAAAGGAATGATCTGAATTATTCCATCATTTTTTTTATTAATTCCCACCTGTCATGTTGACCAAAGAAACGAGCATCAACTTGACCATCTTTATCTCTCAGTGCTTTAGCCGGCCAGAATGGGAAACCCTTGAGTTTAGCCCAAACCAATGGGTGTGGATTGCTCTAGAGGAAAGTGCATAGTGACCACATGGTGAGAAAACTATTTTAAGCCATGCATTATTTTCTAACTGCTGACATGCAAGACAATAGTTATTTATATGACTGAGATTGTAAAAATGTCTCAAATTTACAACTTTAAATGAAGTCATTCTTTGTCCAGCTACTGTATAGTTTTGAGAGGTTTCCCATCTTATTAAAACTATTTTTGTTTTCTTTTAAAACCTGTTCTCTCTGTAGCAACTAGTTGTCAGTGAACTTTTGCCTCATTCTGATTATTCAAAGATAACTTCAGAATAATTCAAACATCGAATTAATTTAAACTAATCTGTACAGATACTCCATTCTCAAAATACAATATTCATAATTTTAATTAAAAATCAGATTACCATTGCATTATTTTAGGAAAATGCTTACATTTGGGCAGTGCAAATAATGTTTTTATATAGCTCTCTGTTATCACAGAAACATAGAAAACTGTTGGCAGAAAAATATCTAGATTTTCCTTTGAGTTTGTTTTTTAATTAATTAATTTAGATTAGTTGTTTAAATTATTTTTATATTTTATTTATTTTTATTTTATTTTTTATTTTTCTGGATGATGGACATCTGTTTATCATAGGCATGTTTAAACTCAGTTACTGATGATTAACCTATTATCTCCTCTGGAAGTTGGTTCCAAGCTTCCATTAGTCTTTCTGTGAAATAGTATTTTCAAATATTACTTTTGAACTTTGTCAGTTTGAAGTTAAATGGATGACATCAATGTAAGTATAGTATTAAGTTATTTTAGGATTTTCCAAAATATAGAATGTAATGTGGCCCACCACACAGAGATATAATTTATAGAGCTTATAATAATAAAATAAGAATAATAAAATCTGTTATGGATGTTTTAATTTAAAGGTAATGGTTAACTGTAATGTGTTACTGTTTCAATTTTTTTTAATTCCATGTCTATACTTTGCTAGTTATAAGCACAAAAGAAATAAAGCATATGCTATCGCTACTTAAAATACATGCATATATGCATATGTCACATCATTATGCATATCATTCCTAAATAATTCCCCTACTAAACAAGCAGTCTCCAGTTTAAGAGCAAGGTTCTGTTCCCAAAGTCTGTCCTTAAATCAAATTTGTATAAAAGTTGGAACAGTATTATTGTATACTGCTGTATAAGTAGTACTGAGTAATGAACTTGAACCACTGCATATTTAACTTGAATCATTATATTTAACTTGAAATCTGATACAATAGGCTCTGTTCTTAACTATGAGTTGTCCTTTAAACAGAGTGTTCTTAACAAAGGGATTTGCTGTATATTCCCCAAACCATAAGAAATCCAGACAGGCTAAAAACATTGTGTAATTAAATGTGATGCTGTATAGAAAAAAAGTAGGGGCTTCTGAGATTTGATTTTTAAAAAACTGGTTGTTAGTAGATTTCAAAAGTTTCAAAAAAATATATTTGAATGCATTGAACTTCATTACATGTTTCATTAAAGGTGATAAAGCAGGGATGAGACAATGGAGGAGGCTTTATCTCAGAGCTGAATTGTGATTCTAGTATTTATGTAACAACTTCACTTAAAGTTTGCCTTACCTATTAAAATATATGTCCATTTGCTCATTTATAACATTATTAAAGTATTATATTTAAACCTGAATAACAGTGCCAAATGATTTTAGGATTTGGAAATATTAACCAAATCTAGATCACTTATATTTTCTATCAGAGATACTCAAATGAAGAAAAGACTAACTATTCAATTTCTATTAATTATCAATCAGTGGCAATGTGTGGGTTTTGAGCACAAACAGAAGAATTTTTATTTAAAACAGTATGCATAAAAATGAAATTCACTGTGCTTCTGTATATGCTATTTATCATTTAATATCCCCCCTTCCTTTTTTACTTACACAAGGTTCACAAAACCAATTTTCTCGTTTTTGGCAAGCAGCTAAATAACATTCTGGACATACTTCAATTTCATTCATCTGTAAAAACAAACATGAACTATTATGGAGTTGGAGCATAAGATTAAATGTATTTACAATTCTATTCAATCCTGCAATCAAGAGTAACATGGCAGTCATTTATAATTTTCTACTCCAAATAATTATTTGTCTGTGTGCATTCAGGAATTTATGCATACTAATTTTTGCTGCTTCATAAGGTTCAACATCAGTCTTTTACTATACAGTAAACAATGACTATATATAAATAAATGAAAGTATAAAAACATTGTGCTTGATAGCAACAATCATAGTTTTGCATAAGAAAATCTTAATTTAAACAATACATTTAAACGATGCTGGCATATTGAGTTTTTATAAGATCTTTAGACTTTTTATGCATGGCATACAATTTGCCTTTATCTGTTGATGGAACAATATTTATCAGCAGAATCTGTTTAGAATTCTTAAAGGATTATTTTGTGAAGATTTTGGAGGAATGCAGAAGGAAAAAGGCTGCAGATTTCCACTACATGTTGAAAAAGTCAATGCACTTTCAAAGGTATTTTCAACTTGGCAATGCCAATTCTAGATCCATATTTTTCAAAACAGATTTTTATAAAGTTAATATGTTTGAATAATGCTATAAAATAACAAAATCACTGAAAATAATCTAGTATGATTTATATATAATCTGAAATTATAATTTGATATTTATGACTTCAATTAGTTAGTCTTTATGCTTAATGGGCCCAGGGATTCCATATATGTCTATGCAGAAATACTTTATTTATAGACTTTGTTCTTTTAGATACATGAGTAGAGGATTGCAATCTAAAAACTGGAATACAGATTATTCCAATTCCTGAAATTTTGAAATTCTACTTCATTTTATGTAATGAAAATACTAAAACTATGATTTCAATTTTTCTTAGCATTACATAAAATTGTTGGTTAAATTAGTATAATAAAAATAAATGGAAACTTGGAAATACATACCTCATGTTCACAGATTTTAATTATGACTTTTGCTGTTTGTGTCAATTTGTGATTTCCTGAGAAAACAGGTAAGTACAGATGTCTAATTAAATCTATTACAAAAGATGCTTATTATTTGTATTATTTAGAGTGCAAACATATTCAGTTTCACATGCGTGTTTTAAAAGGCGAAATTAATTAAATACAAATCTTGAATCTACCAGTAGAAATGGCAAGTCATAAAAGTAAGTCATTCATAAATCCAGATGTAATAGAGCGACAACATTTCACAAGTATTCATTCTTATTGAACTTATAATTATTAGGTAATGTTTTCTTTAGTGTTACCTTGTAGCATTCCCAGAGAAATCATTTTGAATGCACCTTTTCAACCCAATTTTAAAAGACAAATGAACATATCTTATAGGTATATCACACCTGATTTTATTATTATTTAAATTTGCAAATCATAGCATTATTGTAAGGGAGATATAAAATACTTCAGTTTATACATTAATATACAGCACACATAGGATTAATCTCAATATAAAACCTCAATGTGAAAAAAGCTATTTTCAAAGACCTGTTTATAGGATCTCAACTATAGGATCTCAACTATTGTCCCATCTTATCTAAAAGATTCTTAAATTGAAAGAGAGAAAGGAAAGGGATACATTTAACTCTTTGGAGTCACTTAGGGCTGTATTCAACTTGTTTCCTTCTACCGATAGATTTTATGATGTGGGGAAAAACAAATTGATTTGTGAAAGATTTGCATCCCAAAAGCCTTCCATTCTTTTTTGGGCAGGGGGAGGGGGCACTGGAGGAAAACACACTACTTTCATTACTAAATATTTGAAAAGATTTGTGTTCTTTCTACTTGAAAGTTTTGGGCCATTTACTTCAATTTAGTGTATAAAAATTAATTACAAGTTTTCCTTGCTTATTGACTGCCTTGTTTAATGACTATTCAAAGTTAGAGGAGTGCTGAAAAGTAACATTACAATTGGTCCTCGCATTTATGAACTTTACAGCATGGAATTCACAGCCAGATTCTGACAAGAAAAGTCAACAGAGCAGCCAGCAGTAAAATCACAAGTTATGGTCACGCGATACCTCACTTAATGACAACAGAAGTGAAGTTACAAGTTTGTCAGACGTGACATCTTCCTTAATGACCGGATCTCTTACCAATGGAGTTACTGATCCTAATTGTGGTCATTAAGTATACCTTCAAGGAAATATGTAGCTTCAAGGAAATATGCATATACATACCCCCATTGTAAATAATGCAATTGTGCAAAATCCATTTGGCATCAGCCAGAAAGGCTTCAGTGCAACCATACATCTTCTTTTTAACATTCTGAAAAAGATAACATAAACATTGTATTAAAATGAGGAAATAATATCTAAATCCAGAAGCTATCTACTTTATCTTATTTTCTTAATATCTTTATTCCAAATAAATGAATGGAAAGATTAAAATTAAAATAATCATGAACTGGGAGTAGACATTAGATTCAGGAATGAGCTTTCAAAAAGTTAGATATTATAAACCTCAATATAATCAATTAGGTGCCATTTTGGCTACCAACGTTGTTGGAATATAATTGCAGCATATCAAATATAATTACTGAAACTTGACCAAATTATAGGAATTTTTAAACGTATTGTTATGGTCATTTCTTTTTTATATATGAAAATCTACTTTGTATCATGGAACAGAGTACCATAATACACTTGAAGAAAAAAAGAATCACCGATACTTTCTTTTTAAATTATGTCACTTAAAATTAAAAAAAAAATGTTCACAGGAAGCAAGCCTCAAAACTGATTCTATGAAACAGATATTTGAATGCCCTCTATAGTTAAATTAAATTAGGCAACTAACATCGTACTCTTTGCCTCTCCCACTCTCTCAGAAACTTTGCATGCACTTATTTCCAAAACATAATATAAGCAGAATGCTCTTCGATAAAAGTAAAAATGATATGCTTCTTGAAACTAAACAACTAACTGGCCCTATGTTAAAGATTCTAAGAATGTTTGCCCTGCAAAAGAGACAATTGTGGGGACATATCACAATAATTAAGAAGACTTCCACATAAAGCAAGAAGTGGACATTCTCTATTGCCCCATAGAGCAGGACCAGAACCAATGGATTGATATAAGAAAGGAGATTGAGGCTAGATGTCAAAGGAATATTTTTTATTTATACAATCTGTCAACCAATGGTATAAGTTGCTACAGGAAGTGATTGAGTCCCCTTTGGAAGAGATCCTCACCAGGGGCTTGATGATCATTAGTCAGAGATGTCCAAACAGAACCTACAAAGGGGTTGGATTAAATGACCAGTAAACTAAGCTCCCTTCCAACTCCATATTTTCACTTAATGAACTTCACACATTTGAAAGAGAGCCCTTATTTATCACATCAACAAAATTCACTTTTTCTGTGAGAGATAAGTTGAAAAAAATTAACAATCATCTCATACAGCGGAATAATCTCCTTCTTGTCTACCAACCTTTTCTAACGTACAAAGGTCCATTGGATGAAAGATGTATTCTGCATAATCTGGATGCTGGTCCAGTGAAACTGGCTTTTGAAATGGCTCTGTCTGTTTCAATAAACACAAAAAAATTACAGTTACAATATAAAATCCTTCTAAAAACAATTATATTGCTTAAAAACAAATAATGTGTTAAAACCAGGGTGATTATGTTTACAATCTAGCTAATCAATCAAACTGAGCAAGAATCATTTGTTTAAATTTAATCAGGTAAAAGCTTGAAAATCAGACGTCATATATTATAATCACTAGGCATTCATTAGTCCCAATTCATGCCCAAATAAGAACATAATGACAGGTAGTCCTCTCTTAAGAACTGCCCAGTTCAAAATTACAAAAGCATTGAAAGTTCCTTTTCAACTAGTCCTCAGACTTATGACTGTTACAGCATACCAAAGTCACATGATCATGACCATGTTGCCAATCCTAATTATGGTTAAGTGAGGACTCTCTATAATTGTCACATGTTCATATACGTATTACAAAATTAATGCAATTTTAACACATTCATATTTAGAATCTCTCCCAGGTCTATACCTATGTGTTTATTAAAACACTGACAAACACACAGCAGATCTAACAATACTCTTCCTCTTCATCTTGGTCAAGCCAATTTTAACTGAATTTTAAATTTATTTATTTATTATTAATTATTTATTTTTTAATGTTTTATATGGTATTTTTACTGAATAACTATAAGCTGCCTAGCATTGCTTCAGCGCAATGAGCAGCTAGAGAGAGAGAGAGAGAGAGAGAGAGAGAGAGAGAGAGAGAGAGACAGACAGACAGATAGACATTGTACAATGTTAACACATATATATAACTAGATATCTAAAGATAATTTATTTTCAAACAAGCAATAATACACAGTAGAGTCAAATATCAACACATATCTTCTTACCCCTGGCTGTTTCATTTTTTGTAGTGCAAACTTGAGCAAGTAGGATAGCTGTTCAATAGTGAGCATTGTCATAGCTTTACTCTGTGTTTCTATGCATTCTGCTACAGTAATTTTCTAAAAATAGAAATAAAAAATACTGAAAATTCTTAAAAATAATTTACAATTTTTACATGCAAAAGCAAACACTGAAATTTATTTTACATTACGTGGAATTATCCATGTTCATGAAAATACTGTGCTATTTCTCCAGGGTGGAGCGCAGATGTTTTGCACATGGTTGCATCTGACCAATATCGAAAAGCTAAGTAGGGTCTCATCTAGTTAGTATTTGGATGGCAGACCACTAGGAAAACTTAGGGCTATAAATCAGACTGGGAAAGTGACAAGCTACTTGTTTATTCTTGGCAATAAAACCATAGGGATGATCTATCACAAATCTAGCATGATTGGAAGCAGGCTTCACATTCACTTCATTATTTTCCTGACTGATTTTAAAGGCCCATAAGGCAATTAATTATATATACTGAGATGCATAGCCTTAATCTATATTTGATTATGTTGAAATCACTGGAACTACTACTTCCTTAAATCTCTAGTTTCAATGAATATTTTAAGAGTGATCAAGTCTGGATCTAATCAACTTATTATCCCAATCTAACTTTCTTTCTTGAGCATGTCCATGGCCTAGAATTTTTCATTTTTTGTTTTTGGTAAATGGAAGATACAACATGTACAAAATAAATACAATACATATAAAACAGAATTTAAAATAAGGTAACATAGTTGCCTATATATAGTAGAAGAAAATGCTTGAGTGGCAATATCAATTATTTGACTCATGTCCCACAGCATATAAACTCAAACAGTCTATAAATATAAGAACTTTAAATACATTTTTTCTAAAATAACCCTATTTCTTTTTAAAAATAGTGGTAACAATTAGCAGATTTTGTATGAAGCAAATTATTAGTCATATCTAGCATGTTTTGAGAAAATCTATTGTTATTCTCTGTTCACATTCCTTATAAACTTACAGACACAACAACTTAAACTTGTCTTTTAAATGGTATTTTAAATGTTCTGGAAACTGCTTTTTTCTGAAATGTTTTCACACTGTACAATATACCGTATATGCAGGCGTACAAGGCGACCCGGCATATAAGATGACCCCTGTCTTTATCGCCGAGCCGCATTCCTAGAACGTCGTCTTATACGCCGGAAACTACCAGTATTTCCGGTGTATAAGACGACTCGGCGTATAAGACGACCCCCGTCTTCGGCGCCGATTTTAGCGCTCGCGGAAGTCGCTTTATACGCCAGCATATACCATATACTTAATACACAAAATGAATAATTTCAAAATAAAATGATGAAAATGCCAGAGTGAAACATTTTATCATGATAGCATGTAATCTTAATATCCTCTGCTTTCTCATTCATATGCCCTTCTCCATGGTATCTGACAAAGCAATTCCAATGAGCCTATAAAATAAATTGTGACTAAAAAAACAACATCATAACAAAACATAAAACTGCTAAATATGGTAATGTAAATATGATTATTTACATTAACCTTCTATCTTTTCAAGACATGATTACACATTCAAAGTCAATGATAAGAGAACTATTTTCTAGAAAGTGAGAAATTAGGAGCAGGGAAACAGATATGGGCCTCATACCTCACATTCTGGGCAAAACCAATCCCCCTCTGGCTCCGCTGTCAGTTTCAGACACTTAGCATGATAAACCCGAGGGCAGAGTTCACAGCAGAGGACTTGGCCTTCCCGATGACAAACCCAGCAATAGAAATCATTCCGTCCATCCTGCGGTACAACATCAACAGGGTCTGTGGTGAGTGGCTGCTTCATATAGTAAAACGGACCATGTCTTAGTTCTGACTGAAATGTAGGCAAGAAAGACAGGTTTGGTTTCAAAACAAATTTGTATTTTAAAATTAAAATAAGCAAATATGACCAATCAGCCCCCATCTAATGTTTATGTAGTTCCAACTCTCATTCAGCACACCACGAGTATTTGAAAACAAAGCTTATATTCATTAAAGTAAATATATTTTTTTTTCCAAATCAGATCCATTGGATCTTCAACTAGAAGCAAACTACACGAACCATTATTCATTTGCTTAGTAATTTTGCGGCATTTTAAAAAATAATCAATATTTAGGGATAGGTGAAGAGGGCTTTATTCTTTTTTTAAAAAATTTTTTTATAAAGTTTTTATTGAGTACAAAGAAAAAAAAAGATTAAAAACATTGAACATGGTATATCGTCTTTGACATCTCAGTCTGTATTGTACATTAATTACATGTAATATATCTATATACAAACTATACATTTCTGATCTCTATCTTAACTTATCTCTTTGTTTGTGACCTCTATTTTTTTCCCTCCATCTATAAAATTTATTCCATATTCAATAAAATTCTGTTTCTTCCTGATTTTTTAATCTTTTAGTTATCCTATCTAGTTCTGCGCAATACATAATTTTCTTTAGTAGTACTTCCTCACTCGGTACTTCCATTGCTTTTCACTTTTGAGCAAATAATAGCCTTGCTGCCGTAACCACATGAATAATTAAATATGTGACCTCTTTATTTACATTTTCTCTAGTATTCCTAATAGTAATGCCTCAGGTTTGTATAGAATGCTTTGCCTAGTCATTTCTATTGCCATTCTCAGACCATACGCCAATACACTTGTGCTTCTCTACATGTCCACCATACATGAAAAAAGGTGCCCTTATCTTTTTTACATTTCCAACACATAGATGAATATCTGTTATACATTTTGGCTAATCTGGCCGGAGGGAGATGCCATCTGTAAACCATCTTATAGAGGTTTTCTTTATATGCTGTCGCCAATGTGATTTTGTTATTTCTCTCCCATACTTGCTGCCATTGATCCATATTTATATTATATCCTAGATCTATTGCCCATGTCACCATTGTTTCTTTAACCTGCTCCTCATATAGCTTATGTTCCAACAGGTGTTTATAAATATTCTTTGTTTTTTTCTCCGGGTCTAGCAGTATTTTATCTAACCCCGTATCTTGTCTTTTAATACCCCATTCTTGCTTATCCTTCATGTATCTTGCTGTATCTGGAGATAAGACCACCACTCCATGTCTATTCCTTGTTGTTTTAGCAATTGTTTTTGTTTTAAATAATCTTCTGTCAAGATGTCTTTATATATAATAACCTTGTCTTTCCTATACAAATTGGGATATGTGACTACCTCCAATGGCGATAGCCAAGCCGGAATCTTTGTGTAATATTGACGTTTAACTATATTCCAGCTTTTTATTAATTCTTGCCGAACCTGATGCCTTAAAAAATATTGATGGTTTCTGCTTTGTCCCATCCATATGTGAGCATGCCAACCCTACTGGAGGTCATAACCCTCTAAATGTAAATATCTTTTATTTTCTAAGGTTATCCAGTCTCTAATTCATGTTAGGGCCGCTGCTTGGTAATATAGCTCCCAATCTGGGAAACCTAAACCGCCCCTCTCTTTGGCATCCTGTAATGCCTTTAATTTTATTCTTGCCTTCTTACCGGACCACACAAATTCTAAAGTTAATTTATTCAGCTCCTTGAAAAATTTCTTGTCTAGTTGAATTGGGATATTCTGAAACAGGAATATCATTTTAGGTAAGATGTTCATTTTCACTGCAGCAATTCTCCCAAGTAATGAAAGATGCAAATTTTTCCATCGGTCAAAATCTACTTTTATATTCTTTACCAATTTGCCATAATTGTCTTCTTTAATTGATGAGCAGCATGCTGAAATAACTATTCCTAAATATTTTAATTTAGAAACTACTTGTATACCTAATTTTGCCTCGAGGTTTCCTTTTTATATGTTAGTCATGTTTTTTGTTATAATCTTTATTTTGTTTCTATTTATTTTCAAACCTGCCAGATCCCCATACTCTTCCAATATTTTTGCCCTGATTGTTCTGGGTCTTCTATTATAAATGCTAAGTCGTCTGCATAAGCTTGAAGTTTGTATGTATTAGCAAGAATCTCTAATGTATATATAAATAACAATGGCGAAAGAGGACATCCTTGTCTTGTATGTTGAATTTATCAGTAGCCTCTCCATTTATTATGATCTGGGCCTTTTGTTCAAAATATATTGTGGTTATTACATTTAAAAAATTTTCCCCAACATTCATTAATTTTAGTTGTTGGATCATAAATTGCCAATTGACATTGTCAAAAGCCTTCTGTGCATCAAGGAACAGAAGTGCCACTTGACGATCACTATGTGATTCATAAAATTCGAGAATGTCTAAGATTGTTCTTATATTCTGCTTAGTCTGTTTGGTAAAAACCCATTTTGATCTGAATGTATGAAATCAATTAGGTACTTTTTGAATCTCTCTGCCATTATTGAGGCAAAAAATTTATAGTCAGAATTCAATAATGATATAGGTCTATAATTTTCTATGTGTGTTTTTTCCACTTCTTCTTTTGGAATCAATATTATATTTGCCTCTGACCAGGACTTAGGTATTTTAGCATCAGTTAATACAGCGTTGAAAATTTCTAGTAGGTATTGATTGAGTGCACTTTGTTGTTCTTTATATAGTTCCGCTGGTATTCCATCTGGGCCAGTTGCCTTATTAATTTTTTGTTTATATATAGCCCTGATTATTTCAGCCATTCTTATTTCCTCATTTAACATAGATTTTATTTCCTCCGGAATTTTCGATATGTCTGCCTTCTCTAAGTATTCTATTATCCTTTCTGCATTTTTTCCCTCCTTTCTTTTATATAGTTTTTCATAGTATCTTTGGGCGATTCCCCTTTTTATAGTCTCCTCCCCCTGAATCTCTCCTTTCTCGTCTTCCAAGTTAATAATCCGTTGCTTCTCTTTCTCCCTTCTTAGTTTATACGCTAGCCATCTTTCCGGTTTATTCACGTGTTCAAAGTTATTTTGCTTAGTTGCCTGTAATTTTTGTGCTAACTTTTCTGAATCCTCTATACATAGTTTATGTTTAATAAAATCTATTTTGTTTTTCAATCCTTTGTTTTCAGGCTCTCTCTGAAATTGTGTTTCGGCCTGTTTATATTCATCCTCGAGCTTCATCCTATATTGTTTTTTCTCTTTGTTTCTCTTGGCCATGTACGAAATTGCTACACCCCTCATGTATGCTTTTGCCATATCCCAGATACAAGGATGTATCCTCATTGTCATTCACTTGAAAGAAAAGGTGCATCTCTTTCTCCAATCTTTCCTTAAATTCTTTTTCTTTAAGAATCACTCTTTGGAAAGTCCATCTTGGCCTGCTCCTTTGTCCTTTCAAGCGAAAACTTATGGGATTATGGTCTGGAGGGCTTTATTCTTTATATTATGTAGAATTGATCTGGATCAGAAACTTCTATAACTGAACCACATATAATTAAATTTCCTCTCAATGGGAAAAGTGGCCACTGGAAAAAGATGGAGCCAGGGGTTGTGAGATGTATTGAAATAATTATTTCAAAGCAACGTTCACAATGAATCTTCTTTTAAAATATTTACTGAGACTAAAGCTAGTTACAAGAATATTGTAGCTGAACTATTTCCTTCTGAGAACTGATTTATCCCATAATACATTAGGAAAGAGACTTTCTTAATTTCTTTCTAATTTCTTTCCTGTGAATTGGCAAGGAAGCAATTTTTTTCAAGGATAAAAGGAATAACTTTCAGCTGGCTGTTTGCACCACCATCTCCAGTCTCCTTATCTGTGAACTGGCAAGGAAGCAATTTTTTTTCAAGGATAACAGGAATAACTTTCAGCTGGCTGTCTGCACAACCATCTCCAGCCTCCTTATCTGTGAACACAATCTTACAAATATATTAAATCCAGGCTGCACTTTTTGATTGGTTGGTTGGTTGGTGTGTGTGTGTGTGTATATGTGTGTGTGTGTGTGTGTATGTGTGTGTGTGTGTGTGTGTGTGTGTGTGTGTGTGAGAGAGAGAGAGAGAGAGAGAGAGAGAGAGAGAGAGAGAGAGAGAGAGAGATCTGTGCTATTCCATTGAAAATGGGAAAATACAACTGTTTTTCCAAACAGTATGCATAATTAGATAATGTTTTAAATCTAACAACCTCTATTACAGAAATCCAAAAAGCCCAAGCTGTGTAATTTATCTAGCTGATTTAGCTGATTTATCTAGCATGTTTCTATATATAAAACTCTTTTACCAAAGGAATTGCACAATTAGATGAATTGCTAACATATATCATAAGCACGTAATAATGATACATTGGCTTCCTTTTAAAAGACAAAATATACTTAGAATTAGTTCTGTTAAGAGAACATAATTATATTAAATACTATGGTGTTGAGAAATTTGTTTTGTTTCAAGAAACAATGGAAGAATCGCTACAGTATAACTTACTTCCTATTAACAATATATGGTAATTAACATTCAGCCAAGTTAATAGCTCAACATAATTGGTAAGACTGTCCCCCCAAATACACTTTTTACTTACAATCCTTTCCAGAACTATTTTGACAGCTACTCTGTCTAGGAGCCAAGTGTGAATACTGTATGCAGCAATGTCTTGCACCATTATTTAAAACTCTAGATTTATACAGTTTGCCTACAATGTAAAAATCTATAATCTGTTGTAATTTAGCTTCATTTCAAATAAATTGGATGTGTTCTGTTGACAGTAAAATGACTTTTTAAGGCTTTTTTTTTAAAAAGCCCTCCCTTTTCTCTTAGCATCTTTTTTAGAGATAATTTGAACTCAATATTCCAGCTTGATCATATAAAGTTTTTATGTATTTATTTACTCAATTTCTGCAGATGCCCATCTCAGTCAATGACTCTGGTTGGTTTACAATTCAAAAAAATATTATAATTAAAACACTGAAAACATTTT